TCATACAAGTTGGCCGTCATATAGGGCTACTCATCCAATTATACCGTCCTTTTCCTCTATTATTTTGTAAAATTTGTTGACAAAAATTACCATGCACATTTTAAAATCACCCTTTTTGACGTCACAAGGTATAATATGATGATATCTTGGATTTTGACAAACTAATAATATGATGGCTTTTCCTTTCGACGAAGCAAGTTTTATATTAATATCAAAAGCATCAGATCTCTTGATACGTGAGATGTTCGTGTGTTGATACGAAAATGAATTATATCTATCTTTCGAAACTCTTTAGAAGGATGCCAATCTAGGCGTTACAATTTACCCCAGGCTATTTCCATGGAAGTCAGATTCTCGTATGTTGTGATAAAGGAGCTATCTCTGAAAGTCAGATTCCCGTGTGTTGTGATAAAGAGAACAAGGGTAGACCCGAGGCCCCCTCTGTGGTAGTCAATTCCATGATATTATGTCAAGTCAAATAAACCTACAGGAGGATATATTCCATAACAATGACATAAATAATATCCTACCACAAAAGTCAATCGAAGCTAACATACCACCGTACTTTTGCAGTAATTATTGTGAATAGCACACCAAAGGCCGAAATGAAATACCTAGTGGACGAAAATCTTGAGTTCGGCGGCAAGATGTAGGAATAAATTGTGTCCCTCTTCTTGCCAGTTTTGTTTTTGTTTTCATACGAAACTGACTTTGTTTGAAATGAGATTGCTCAGTTGGTATGAATAACAAAAGTTTGTTGCTTTGAACACAAACACTTATTTTGCGAGCTTTCGATGTCATTCTTAGCTTGGCAAAGGGAACAGACGTTTTCGAAAGCTTGCAAAATAAGGTTTTAATTACTGTTTGAGTTCAAAGTCGAATTTGTTGTTAAGCTTATCTAGACTGGCAATAAAAACCTAGCCAAGTCCTTCAATTTCACATCCGATTCATTAACAGCATCGACCATATATATCCACCTCAGCTAAAAAGCGACGACACTACAGACTCTTCTGATTCAGCTGTTTTCCTCGATCTTAACTAACAACATGGTCAGCCGTGCCGGCTAACTACTAAGCTGTACGATAAACGAGACTTTTTAACATTCTTGTCGAGAAGTTTCCCTTTCTTAATAGTAACATCCCTACTTCCCTGCCTACGATGTCTTCTTGTCGTAATTGATTAGGTATTCAAGAGCTTGCTCCGCATATCAGGACATAAGTAATAGACGTCGACTACTGACGTACAAGTTTATGACACAATTTTGGCAAAGGTGCAGACTGATGAGGGTTGTGAACAAGTTTAATGTTGATTTTTTATATTGATTTAAATATTCATTCATATCTGACGAAAGCATCAACCAATACATATCGTAATTACAATACAATTCTTCAGAGTAAAAATATGAAGGGAATCCAAAAATAAAATGTTCTCATTATCAAGTAAATTGATCGTCTCCCCATGTGAAAGGTTCGAGTAAAATCAAGGTGCACCTTTCGTGCTGACAACGTTCTCGACTTGGATATCCAACAGTGAGGTTATGTTGGTCAACAGCAAAAAATGACCTGACTAGTTATCAGAAGTCAATTAATATAAAAAAACAAGTAATACTATGGTCTGCTTTTCAGTGAATAATGGTGCTAAAATCTCACGAGAGGGCAGATGTCATAATAGGGAGGTAATCAGAGGCACGAATACCATTCTAAAATCTAGTGCATTAGGTACAGGGAGTATTGTGGTTTTTTGTTTGTTTTATAAAGTTCGGATAATTAGACCACAGGTAAAGGTTTTCCTTCAGGACATCAATTCTTCATGTAAATCGATTCGACTGAGACAGGGTCTATCAGTTGTTAATTCACAGGTGGGTTTTAACGAGACAACGTCCAGAGTAAGTGATTAAAACGACCCATTGATTGACCGTTATCATGCACTCACCATCCAGAGCTTGTTCGTAAAAGTACTGTTCCTGTTGCTCTCTTCAGTTAATACATTGCTTCCCCGATCTCTCCAGAGTGAGCCTGATCACCGAGGCTTGCTGTTTGCAGACACCCCGTTGTGTATCTTATCGATACTATCTCCCTCATCATCTCTTCGTTTATTAACAGCAACCTTTCAATGCACAGCCATCGCCCCAATAAAGACCAGACCAGACCAGCCGTACTGTTGCCATTACTCAAGCCACCAAGGAGGTAAGTGTTCCAGCCCTTTCCCAAGGGCACCCCCTGAGTAATTATACGATTTATGTTATCAATACGGGTAAGTTAACATGCTTTTTTAAATGTTAAGTTTTACACGATTCCGTTGTTTGCATGTTGAAATACTGGACGAATTTCTGTAAACTAATGTGTCTGCAATATTAAACACCCTTTACTTCACGCGGTGTTTTAGTACTTTCAATACTTGTGAAGTATTGATTTACACAATAGATGTAAAACATTTCATGAAGGTTTCCTGTGCCCGTATTCATGAAACCGTTCTCATGCTCAAGTATGAATTTTGCGCTCAAGCTTCATTTCTTGTTCTTGTTATAAATTTATAAACAAATCTTTTTGGCCAATGCATTGGAAAATTGTTGAAGAGATTTGAACCTGAATACTGTTATCAATGTTAACATTTGACATTTTGATCGTTTGACACGATTTAAGTGAGTTACAAGAAAGTCGTTTTGAGCACATAATCCATTCTTGAGCATGAGAACAGTTTCATGAATACGGGCCCTGGTGTGTCTACCTGTGTAAACAACAGTATTTATAATTCATTTGATCACCATTAAAGCATACCTAGTACTCGGTATATTAACTGAAAAGTTGCTTAAGCAAATATGACTTTTATCGATTTATTACTTTTTATTCTGTCTGTTCTGTGATTCGCTTACATACCCTCATATTATTATTATGATTTCATTTTACACGTATTTTGTATATGCATGTATACTTATCCTTAACAGTCTGATGATCGAACGTTTTGAAACTTGTTCCTGCCGATCGATATATTTGTAACGATATACTATTTAAGTATCATTGACTACATCTACATTTCTGTATAGACATATTTGTCTATCAAAAATAACTGTTTGTAGTTTGTGTGTATTTTATTGTTCGTTTGCTAAGCACTGTCGTAGTTCCTGTCTTAGTAAACACTGTGCTAGTATATCCTCTGGCTGGTTTTATCTAACAAAAGTATGTCAACATTTTCATAGAAGGAAACAAGCATTTGTTGTACACTGATTGATCAAATCTCAAGAATCACTGGCCTCACCATTTCAGAATGTGAAATAAATACATTATTATTTTAGAAGTTCTTTATGCCAGAGTGCGGTTATCTTGTTTGTAGTGTTTCTAAACATTCAGCTGAATAAAACGTTAATCAATATCCGTATCGCATTACGTTTACTGTCTTCGGAAGTATGAATACATTTAGCGATCGGACATGAAATGGTATGGGGGCACCTGCTCGACCACGGTTTTCTCCGGGTACTCCGGTTTCCCCCACATTAAGACCCCCGCTCCCCCATCCCCGCGCTAACATCCGGGCAAACAAGAGTTGTAAATATAACTTGAAAATCTTGTTTTATAATTGTTGCAAAATAAATAAAGTGTTTATATATGTATATATATATAAAAAACGCAAACAGAAAGCGATTGAAAGTCTTTCTGTAGCGAATAGTTTAGCGTCTATATGCTTCAGTTCTGTTTAATCAACTTGTACTCTCTAATGTCTTAATACGAATACGTCTCGTTAACTTTTTCTACCAATCAGATCTACGCATACCTCTTTCCTTATCTATTTTCTACCAATCAGATCTACGCATACCTCTTTCCTTATATATTTTCTACCAATCAGATCTACGCATACCTCTTTCCTTATCTATTTTCTACCAATCAGATATACGTATACGTCTTTCATTAACGTTTTCTACCAATCAGATCTACGTATACATCTACCCTAAACCTCTTATACCAATCTGATCTGTGGACTTATTCCAAGGTAAGATATCTTTAGACAAAGCTAAAATGCGAATGCACTCATTCACCAATGTCGTTTTATCTAAGAATATTTTAATTAATCATGCATCAGATTGACACTGAAGGGGAAACATTGAGCATTAAAGCTCCCACATGACACAGATAGGGTAATGCGTTACCATTAGAGTGGGGTCATTAGCCACTGTCTGTCTTACTTATGGATGTCGTCCATCGAGTTGCCGGTCAATACGGTGATGAGCACTTACATCGGCAAACATTGATTTTGCCGGAAGATAAATTGGTGAAGATACTATAAAATTCCTGTTTTTATACCGTGTAATAGTGCTTGAATATTCCAGTTTGCTATGTTTTTCGAAGAATTGTAGACTTAAGATCTTCGGAGTTTCGGAATGGAATATAATATCATGGTTAACACAGATGTCCCACAACATATCAACTGAAGCAACCGACAAAACTATAGTAAAGATATTACTGATGGAGGAAGATGTATATGATAATTACAGAATGATTTACAGTCCTTTTGCTTTCAGTATGTTTTTATTGTTCAATAAAGGTTAATTGAAGCTCCTTTGGTCATAACTCTAGTTTACCAATTTTAAAAGCCTAACCACCCGACTAATAACAAATATCATGGGAGATAAAAAATTAAACGTAAATGCATCTGTATCATTCGAAGGTTTTACCCGAGTAGGTAAACCAGCACAGATAGCTACCCCGAGTGTAAACATATACATGTTGTTGATTAGGAATCAATAATGCATGAGACAGCCTGTTCTGGTATTAATGGACCTACGTACGGATTCTAACCGGGCCTTCTCTCTGATCTCTACAACCCATAACACACCTCCTTCATCGCTATCGATTACCGCCGTTCAAACTCACAATAACCTTTAATTATTAATTAGTCGTATCCACAACACTGACAAGCCAATTATGTTTAAGTCTTATATCCAAAAACTTTACCCTTATATTTACACGCCAATATTTGATAATGTTAATACATGAAAACCATAACGACCGATCCTGACGCATCATGTAGCACTGTACTTGTGATGTCTGCACTCTAAAGGTATCTGAGGAAACGAAACAGACGGTGCCAAAATATACCCACAACCTTTGTCTCGACACCTCCAACTAGGATCATTGCGTGCGCGATCAACACCTTCAGTCGAGGAATTGCTAGGTGTGTATGAGAACATCATGTTTTAATTAGTCTTCATATGTGATTCCGACTCTTTCATCATCTGTGATGTAATGTAGTCATGTTGTACAGCCATGCAGCCCTCGGCGTTTCCAGGTGAGACATGTACCCGGTGAGCTGTAGATGCGGCACGCATTACCGTGCACGGTTGATGTCACGTCTACAGGCTACATACCAACAAATAGTACTGGTAACAGTTGATTTGGGACAGTAAGCTTGATGGAGGGTTGACTATCATACACACGGTACCAATGGAGCTGAAGTATGCTAGAAACTAGCATAAAACCGTGTTATTTTATGGATGGAAGCCTGTGTCTGGCATTGACTAATACACCGTGACGTTTAATGGATAAACCGATAAAGATGGTCCCTGGCAACATCATAACAACTGCGCGATGTGTTTTGGAACTTTTTTAATGAATGGATAAATACCGATCTGAACGGGGTCATTCCTGAAATATAATAAACAAGACGTACCACAGAAGAAAAAAATGTCCTCGAACGTTGCTAAAATAAAAATTGCAGAAATGTTTGACAAACCTAAGCATTTCTTGCTGAAGAGTGAGGTCCACTCTGAACCAGAAGATTTTGTTGATTCGGATTTAGATGAAGATGACGTTGATATACGTTTTTATGTAAGAAGAAATGAAATCACCAAAGAGAGATTTGATGAATCATTCCTAGAACAACCGGACCCCGACTTTATGATGCCATCATGTGTCCGGGAAATCCTCAGGTCAGAAGGGCTGTCCAGTAACGTCATTGACAAGGCCATCTGGGTCGGGGAGAAACGTCATCGTCTCGCCATGCATCTCACTGTGCAACAGGAAAAGTAGGTCAACTGTCATACAGTTTAGTTTTATGTGTTCTACAAAGAGTAGTTGTTACCATGGTACCAAGGTAACTTTACATCTATTGATAGCAACATTATCAAACTAACAACACTTTACTTTTTAACTATATTATATGTTTTTTAATCCTATATAGAAGTTAAGTTAGATATCATATTAGAAATCTCATTTATTCTATAATATGTCTCATTTGTTTTTTTAAAAATATATTTTATTTATTACAGAAGGTACTTAACATAGAATGATGTTTCGTGCATTAAAATTTAAAAAAATATTGTTCCCCTTTTTGCAGTGTATTTCAAATTACGGTAATGTTTATAACCTATGGGAAAGGTTCTACAGAAAGGGTTATTGGTTTACCGAACATTCAAATTTCACTCAAGGTGTACCATACCATGATTAATCTAGATTTATGTTAATGAAGGAAATATTTCATGTTATAAATGCCATCAAATTTTGCATCAAAATGTTTTAAAACATCTACTATTGGTACGTTATCATAAAAACAATATCTTAATAGGATATATCATATAATATACACATATAAAATCCGATAAATAGGTGAATTTCCCTGCAGTTTCATTTTGTTTTTGTCCTCTACAATGAGTAGGAATTTATCATGACAGCGAAATTATTGTAATTGCATGTGACGGTCAAACATAGAGCACTGGCAAATATTGATTTAATAGTAAAAGTTTATTTTGGTGAAAGCTTGCCGTTATCTGATTTATTGAATATGGTTTCTCACATACATATGCAAATGTTTTATTGTATACGATAATGTAGCATGTTATATCTTATATATACAAGATTGCCTTCTTTTCTTTGGCTTGCTCTTCATATATTTGGTTGCAGAAATCCCTCATTTGTATCTATAAATATAGTTCGGTTATCTTCTTTGTTTAGCCATGTCAGCAGCAACATGAAATTGGTAATCCATTCGAACAGCTCCGCGTTTTATTTTCAGACAAATATTTATGTATATGTAATTCACGATGAAAAATGTCCTTTTCAGTTTATCGAAAAATCTGTATTGCCCTCTTTTGAACCTTATAAAGCCAGAACATTGTTTAACTTTTCTCTATTGTAAGTTTCCAGACGTAGTTGGTGCAATAAAACACAGCCAGAAAGCAAACATAATGGTAGCTATTCATCAAACCTAGGCATAATGATCGTTTAATTGTAATGAGTTGTAATAGGTGTATGTACGAAGGACAGGGAAATAATGATCTCTTATCCTTGAGTTCTTTCTGTTCTTATGAGGAAGATGTCATTTTTTTATCTCTTTATTGGGGAGTTTTTACAACCTTTAATCTCTGCCACAGGTGCTTCTTATACCCTTTTGACTTTTTTATGGCGTATTTCTTATGCTTTTAAATCCTTTTATAAGGTAGTTCTCTCACACTCTTGTATCTATGTATACGGTAGTTCTCTCACACTGTTGTAACCCTTTTTAAGGTAGTTCTCTCACACTCGTGTTACCCTTTATGAGGTAGTTCTCTCACACTATTGTATCTGTGTATAATGTAGTTCTCTCACACTCTAATAAACCTTTATAAAGTAGTTCTCTCACACTGTTGTAACCCTTTATAAGGTATTTCTCTCACACTCTAGTACCCCTTTATAAAGTAGTTCTCTCACACTGTTGTACCCCTTTATAAGGTATTTCTCTCACACTCTAGTAACCCTTTATAAAGTAGTTCTCTCACACTGTTGTAACCCTTTGTCAGGTAGTTCTCACACACTCTACTAACCCGTTATAAGGTAGTTCTTTCACACTCTTGGAACCCTTTATAATGCAGTTCTGTCACACTCTTGGAACCCTTTATAAGTTAGTTCTCTCACACTCTAGTAGCCATTTATAATGAAGGTTTCTCACACACTTGTAACCCTTAATAAGGTAGTTCTCTCACACTCTTGTATGTTTTGATATGGTAGTTTTCTCACAATCTGGTAACCTGTTATAAGGTAGTTCTCTCACACTGTTGTAACCCTTTATAATGTAGTTCTCTCACATTCTTGTATGTTTTGGTAATGTAGTTCTCTCACAATCTTGTAACCCTTTATAATGTAGTTCTCTCACACTCTTGTAAACCCTGATGGGGGAGTTCTCCCTTTTTTTATCTATCTATGAAGTAGGTCTCACATGTTTCATCCCTTTAATTAATTGTTCTCCCACAACCGACAATCAATCCACCTCTACCACCACTTATCATAACAACGTATATTAGCTAACATTACTGTATGTACGGTTTATGAACCATGAAAACACCGGACACTTGAGTGTGTAAATTTTATTCAATATTGGTTAACCTACCATTTATTGCCCATTAAAATACTATCGGGGAGCGCTGGAATCGCTTCCGATGCCGTTAATTGAGAACAAACAATTAATGATTGACTCTATTTATGGCTGAGTAAACTATAACTGCAATCTGTTATCAATCACGTGATCCTGAATCCTGGTTAGCTTGTCGCGATTAAGTAGACAACCACATACATTTAAATAGAAAACCACAAACAAACTGAAATAGACAGCCACATACAAATTGAAATACATGCAGACAACAACAATCAAGCTGAATTAGACAACCACACACAAGCTTGATTACACAACCACAAATAAGTTGCATTAGACAACCACATACAAGCTTGATTACACAACCACAAACACGTTGCAATAGACAACCACATACAAGTTGCAATAGGCAACTACATACAAGTTGCAATAGGCAACCACATACAGGTTGCAATAGATAACCAATACATGCAGACAACAACAATCAAGCTGAATTAGACAACCACACACAAGCTTGATTAAACAACCACAAATAAGTTGCATTAGACAACCACATACAAGCTTGATTACACAACCACACACAAGCTTGATTACACGACCACATACAAGCTGCAATAGACAACCACATACAAGCTGCAATAGACAACCACACACAAGCTTGATTACACAACCACATACAAGCTGCAATAGACAACCATATACAAGCTTGATCACACAACCACAAATAGGTGAATTAGACAACCCCACACAATCTTGATTACCCAACCACATACAAGCTGCAATAGACAACCACAAACAAGCTGCAATAGACAACCACACACAAGCTAGATTACACAACCACAAATAAGTTGCATTAGACAACCACATACAAGCTTCAATAGGCAACCACATACAGGCTGCAGTAGACAACCACATACGAGCTGCAATAGACAACAACATACAAGTTGCAATAGGCAACCACATACAGGTTGCAATAGACAACCACATACAAGTTGCAATAGACAACCACGAACAGGTTGCAAATGACGACCACATACAAGTTGCAATAGACAACCACGAACAGGTTGCAAATGACGACCACATACAAGTTGCAATAGACAACCACGAACAGGTTGCAAATGACGACCACATACAAGTTGCAATAGACAACCACGAACAGGTTGCAAATGACGACCACATACAAGTTGCAATAGACAACCACGAGCAGGTTGCAAATGACAACCACATACAAGTTGCAATAGACAACCACGAACAGGTTGCAAATGACAACCACATACAAGTTGCAATAGGCAACATATACAAGCTTGATTACACAACCACAAATAGGTGAATTAGACAACCACACCCAAGCTTGATTACACAACCACATACAAGCTGCAATAGACAACCATATACAAACCACATACAAGCTTGATTACACAACCACAAACACGTTGTAATAGAAAACCACATACAACCACACACAAGCTTGATTACACAACCACATACAAGCTGCAATAGACAACCATATACAAGCTTGATTACACAACCACAAATAGGTGAATTAGACAACCACACACAAGCTTGATTACACAACCACATACAAGCTGCATTAGACAACCACATACAAGCTGCATTAGACAACCACACACAAGTTTGATTACACAACCACATACAAGCTGCAATAGACAACCACATACAAGCTTGATTACACAACCACATACAAGCTGCAATAGACAACCATATACAAGCTTGATTACACAACCACAAATAGGTGCATTAGACAACCACACACAAGCTTGATGACACAACCACATACAAGCTGCATTAGACAACCACATACAAGCTGCATTAGACAACCACATACAAGCTGCATTAGACAACCACACACAAGTTTAATAGACAACCACATACAAGCTTGATTACACAACCACAAATAAGTTGCATTAGACAACCACATACAAGCTTGATTACACAACCACAAATAGGTGCATTAGACAACCACACACAAGCTTGATTCCACAACCACATACAAGCTGCATTAGACAACCACACACAAGGTTGATTACACAACCACATACAAGCTGCAATAGACAACCACGCACAAGCTAGATTACACAACCACAAATAAGTTGCATTAGACAACCACATACAAGCTTCAATAGGCAACCACATACAGGCTGCAGTAGACAACCACATACGAGCTGCAATAGACAACAACATACAAGTTGCAATAGGCAACCACATACAGGTTGCAATAGATAACCACATACAAGCCTGATTACACAACCACATACAAGCTTCAATTGACAACCGCATACAAGTTGCAATAGGCAACCATATACAGGTTGCAATAGATAACCACATACAAGTTGCAATTGACAACCACATACAAGTTGCAATAGACAACCACATACAGGTTGCAATAGACAACCACATACACGTTGCAATAGACAACCACATACTGGTTGCAATAGACAACCACATACACGTTGCAAAAGACAAGCACATACAGGTTGTAATAGATAACCACATACAGGTTGCAATAGACAACCACATACACGTTGCAATAGACAACCACATACAAGTTGCAATAGACAAGCACATACAGGTTGCAATAGATAACCACATACAGGTTGCAATAGACAACCACATACACGTTGCAATAGACAACCACATACAGGTTGCAATAGGCAACCACAT